TTTTTTTTTTTTTTTTTTTTTTTTTAGACAGTCTGCTAAGGCTGGCTTCACACTTGCCTCAGTCTCCTGCCTAGCTCGGATTACAGATGTGGACCACTGTGCCCAGTTGTTGGCTGTTTATATAGTTTAAACTGCAAAGGGGTTGTTAATTACACCACTTGTTTGTCAGAAATTGTTATTGGTGCAGCAGGAGCTTGCAAGAAAGCAATCAGGCACAGCCCCTAGGTGGTTTGGGAGAGATAAAAGAAGATGATTTCACAAACTGCTACAAAGACTGGTGAATTTCATTCCAGAAAATTTGTAGTTGGCCCCAGTTTATCAGGTTGGCAGAGCGCTCAGTGCAAAGGTTCAGCTGTGCACTGCTGGAGACCTGGGTTAATGAGGCCTCCCTGTTGCGCTATCAGTGCCAGAAATCAATGCTGCTCGGCTTAATTGTCTTCCCTGACCACAGTAGGAGAGCTGAAGTAAGAAGGCTGGGCCTGTGGGTCTTAGTTAACTCAGAAATTTTGCTGCTCTGAGTGTATGTCAGGAATGGCTCACATAGGTTCCATGAGAATTGCACTTGGGGCTGGAAATCAGTTTTAGGAAGAAGAACAGCAAATATGGAATGTTTCAGTCATGAGGATCTGCTGCGTTAATAACTTTAACTCCCATAAAAATTAAAATGCTCCATAAGGTGAAAAATCCAGACAAATATATAAATGAAGTGAAAAGGTCTCCAACTAAGTAAAATATCCACAACATTTCTGATGGCAAAACACATAATTTTCTTAATCTATAGGGCATGATTAAGTCGGTATTTTTTTAAAAGCCCAACATTCTGTCAATCTGTCATTCTGCCATTTGCTACAACATGGATGAACTTGGAGGGCATTATATTCAGTGAAATAAACCAGCCACAGGAAAGCCAAGCAAGGCATGATTTCATTCAACTCTGAGAACGAACGAACAAACAAAATAACCTCCTAGAACCAGAGAGTAGAGTGGTGATTACCAAGGTCTGGGTCAGAGATGGGGCAGGAGAGAGAAAGAAAAGTGGGACATTGGAAGAGCCAAGCTTGAGTTGGAGAGGAGGAATAAATTAAAAAGAAAAAATACCAATAACTCCAAAGAGCTCAAAATAGGGGAATAAAAATTGCTTAAAATGCTTTGATAGGTAATTGACTTATGGGGTGAGAAGCAAAGGTACAAAGCATGTACAATGCAAAGCATTCCCCAGCCCCACTGCCTACACCAGGTGGCCCATGCCAGAGGCAACCCACACAGTTGGCGTCTTGGTAACCCTGAGACAGTTTATGTAAATACAAGCATCTAGGAGTATGTGTAGATTTCCTTTTTTATTATTATTATTACACAGTTGCTTGTATGGTGTATAATCAGGTTTATACTAGTTTTTGTTGTATTTCAAAATAGTTTTGGAGATAACACTATATTAGGCTTGGCATAGTTGCCTGTGATAATACTGCCATATTAATAAATAAAGTGCATTGTTTCCTATATTTTGCTACTACAGATTATGGGATGAATAATAGTCTTCAAATAGCTCTGTGCAAATCAACAATTGCATCTATAGTAAATGTCATTTTGCCTCCCAATTTGTGCTGTTTGATTTTGAAACTCAAAATTGGATAGTATTATTTTGATGGTAAAGTGAAAGATATATTTTTAAATAAATTTCAAGTAAAAGAAGAAATAAAAGGGATAAATGAAATCCAAAAGGATGACCAGAAGAAATGATAGCATGATAATATGACTAATCTCCATCCGGAAATGTTTAATTTGACTAATTATTAGATTAGCAATTTATAATTGGCTATAATTAATCACTAATAAAGCATTACAGAAAAAAAATCAAGGAGTAATGAAGTTCCAATTGCACAAACAGGAATTCTCTGGTGAGTTTCAGTATTTTAGCAAAGAAACTTTTAGTTCAGTAAATCATTGTTAACCTTATATCACCCATGCCCCCATCCAGGCCAGCAGCTGAGATATATGATTAATGGTTCTTGGATGGAAACTAGGTGTGGAGAGTGGGAACCAGGGTTATATGAGCAGGAAAAGTAAGCTAAATGAAAGGAACTCCCAGGACTCAAGACAGCAGAAATGCAAAGTACTCTCAGGAAACACTGTGACCTGTGGGGTTTTGGTAGTGCCGTCAACTGAAATGGGCCAGTCAGTTTTAAGTCCGCTAAATGGTGCATGGACAGTAGAGTGTGGCTTGAAATTTTTACTTGGATAACTGTAGAAAGTGGAAGAAAGACCAGAGCTGGGTGCTTTTTGAGCAAGATTCGCTATTTATCTGACTCCAGAGACAACTGCCCTAATAGTATTGAAAATGATATTTTGTGTACATAATAAAAATTAACTTTTCAATAATTAAGACTCCACCAACCTCTTAACTCTCAATGTATTTACTCTCAGTTTCAATGGTCATTTGTGTGTGTGTGTGTGTGTGTGTGTGGTACCAGGGATTGAACTCAGGACCTTGTGCTTGCAAGACAGGCGGCAGAACCACTGAGCCAAATCCCTGTCCCTCAATGGTCATATTTTAATGGACTAAATCATTCTCTAATGACCACTTCTTTATTGGGGCAATAAAAATTTTGAACACCCACTATGCAGTAGGTATTGTGCATGCCAAATAAATCCTCTCTCTTGACTCAAGAAATGTATATAGAAAATTCATATAATGATTGTCTTTTTTTCCTATAGGAAAAAAGAATTCTCTTTCACATAAGATCCTAGCTAAGATACTAATAAACTTTAATTTTTAAAATGCAGTCATTTTCCATAGATTTCAGAGTGTTCGTATTACCTATCATCAGCAAATACTTTCCCATCACCCATCAAAACATTTTGTTGAGTTGAGCAATGATCTGTTTACTTTATCCGTAGTGCAGTGCAGATTACAAAATGAAAGCGAATGAAAGCATGCAGACAGTTTCTCTTTAGTACTACTCAACGTTATCATTTAATGAAATTTTGTAAAGGATCATAATTGCCCTGGGCTGGAGCTTCCCACTGTATCATTCAAGTTCTGATAAGATAATGGGACAGTTTAGCTTAGCCATATTCTTGATTTCCTCATTAGGATAAACTCTTACCCTTGCTAGCGTTTTGGTGCATGCACTTAGAAAATGGATAAATTATGCATCGTGCTTGGGAGTGGCACAGCTATCCTTCGGCATGAATGTCAGATATACCAAGAGTGCCAGAACCCTGGAAGTGTGTGAAACACTTTAAATTTGAAGAGACCTCAGTTTTTTCTTTATTACTAAATGCCTTCTTTATAGTTCCTTTTAGCCATCATGGTTTATGAGCCTGTTTTTATTAGTATCTTAGAAGTAATTGCCCCTTTCACTTTTCCAAATGGATCTCTCAAGCCAATAAAAAGCAAATAAATTCACAAGGTTATTCATCTTAAAGTATAGCTATCATCCTTGAAATATAGAAGATTTCAATTTTAAAATGCATTTTAAATTATTTTTCTCAATATTGCTTTCACACAGTGGATGCTTTTTCTCATAAGCATTAGGAACAGTGGCTGTGGGATATAAAATGTTTCTAAGACCTCAGTCTTGCTTTATTTCTTATTCATATACTGTCCACTCTCAGTTGGCATCAGTGTACCTTAATTTTGTGTTTATTGTCTCATAATTTTGGAAAATCCCTGCCAAAGAGGAGTGATTAAAAGAGTACCATGTGTATTTTAGAAGCAGCAAACATTATTTTTCAATAGTGGTAGGGTTTTTCTTTTTTATTATTCTCAAAGCAGAAAAATCTACAAGTAATGCCAGTAGGTACAAATATCAACTCTAATGATTTTTTAAAAATATTTCATACTGAAGAGTTTCTCTGGTGTGAAAAACTATATTAGTACAGAAGATCCTAATGGTATAATTGGCAATGTGAAGTAGGAAGGGGTTAGAGGTGTAGGAAAGGGGCAAGGGTAGGGGAAAAGAAATAAGGGAGAAGAAAAAAATGAGAAAATGAAAACATGGAAATAAAGTATTTGTAAGTAGGGAAGGGAGGAGGGGGTGAAAGGAGGGCAGGGGTAAGGGGAAAAAATGAGAACCAAGACCTGTCATGTAAAGGTACAAGATCCCAACGATGAACATAACTGCACTGTATACATAAATGTACCAATAAACTCAATGAGAAAAAAAATATTTCTAGAAGGGAATCAGATTATATATCTATGTAGAATATGATACTAGGAGCCAGCTACTGTGGTGTGTGCCTTTATCTCACTACTCAGAGGCTGAGGTGAGAGAAGCACTTGAGCCCCGGAGTTCTAGATCATCCTGGACAATATACACACACAAACAAATGCTATAATACCGGTGCTAGAAGTACTCTCACTTGCCCAGACCCAACCTTGGAAACATGAAGCACAGCGAAAGTGAGTCAGTCAGACTTGCAAGATTGGGTGTGTGATAAAAAGGCACATCTGGGGCAGTTCCAGCAAGCAATTTATCCTCCTAACACATAGGTCCACCCCTCCTCTGGTTTGTCACTAAGTATTACGGGGTGCACGATCTTCCCAGTTTCACTATTTCCTAATAGAGCATTCTTTTTCTCCCTTCCCCACTCATGCCTACATGTCTCAGTAAAGACTTTCTTACTAGTGTGTCTCTCCCTCAAGGTCTTGTTTGCTTAGGGACCTTCTAGACACGCATATTTTACCATTTCTCCAACCATTAGGCAATTTTGACTGCTAGTAATGTTCCACTCGGAGTTTACTACTTTGTCTTGAAAATGGAGCACTTTAAGTTTCTGTCCCTTATAGAAAGTATTATTTCAAACGATTATTGATTCATGTTGCTATTTTCTTTGTAATATCAGTAAGATTTAATTGACCTAGATGTTTGGGTTCATAAACCCTGAATCATTTGGGTTTCTGTCCCTAAAGTGAATGTCACCTATACCTATAAAGTACCTATAAAGTTAATGGAAAAAAAGGAATGTCAAAAATGATCAATTTTTTTAAAGGTTTTTGAGCTGTGTTCTGAGTCAAGAGAATTGTATTTGGAGTCAGTGGAGATTATTTACAACCGTTTCTATCAATAGATTGGAAGAAAAGATGTCAAAATTTTTTTCATTCTGATTTGCAAAATTTGGAGGGCATGTTTTGTTATATTTCACTGCCACTGAAAAATTGTTGGCAATAGTTTCTTTAACATAAGGAGTAGTAAGAACATTGTAGACACACTAAGAGATCGTGTGTCATAATATACACTATACATACATAAGAGAAATACGTGTGGGAAGATAAGAAAGTGCACAATCTGACCCTAGTTCTAGGATGCTGGAGCTGTTATCCCCAGTGATGGGTCAGTTATGTATGGGCTGTGCTAGTTTGCTGAGGCTTCTGGACATTAACTCAATGTACATTCAGTTAAGGTTTCTTCTTCATTCCATTCCTTTCTTCTGTGTGTAAGTATTCTCTGAAAGTTTTTATTTTGCCTTTGTGAATACCTTTACACTTGCATTCTACCTTGGTAATTTGGTATAAAGTTTATATTGATTATTATAAGGCAAATTGCCTTGCATTTTCCTTTAAAACGAGCATGTGACTCAGGTTTCTTTCTCATAGGTTGTGGAACTGGAAAGTATCTTAAAGTGAACAGCCAGGTCCATATCCTGGGCTGTGACTACTGTGGCCCATTGGTAGAGATTGCCCGGAATAGAGGGTGTGAGGTCATGGTGTGTGACAACCTTAACCTCCCCTTTAGGGATCAGGGCTTCGATGCCATCATCTCCATAGGAGGTAAGGCCGTCGTCACATGTTCTCACTTTGCCATGAAAATAACGCATGTGGTTGAGGTGACATTTATGACCCAACCTCCATTGTGTGTAGAGAGTTCTGTGTATTCATTTTTAGTTAATTTTAAAAAAATATTTCAACTGCTTGAGCTATTTGACGAAGCTCTAATGCACTGTGGCACATGTAATTGTTGTTACTGTTTAAGCAATTGAACTTTGTTATTGTGTTCTTTTTGATGATTTATTCCTGTTTCTTTTCTGTATGAGTAAGAAAGTGCTAGAAGAATCTTAGTCATTGAAAATAGTACTTTGTTATATTAAAATGAAACCACATTCCCCCAGAGTGAAGATTGTCAGGCATTGTATTACCTCTGTCATGCCACAGTGGGTGCTCTGTATTAAAAGAGAATCTGGACTAATGCCCTGAATGTCACCCAGACCAGTGTGCCATTCACTAGCTCATGAGTTCCTGAGCTGGGGCCAGATTGCATTGGTTTTGTAATGTTGTTCTACTCTTTAATACCAGAGATTGTTCATGAGTCTAGGGAATTTGTCCCTCATAATTTTTCCAGGTGTGCACAGAAATATACACATGCCAAAAAAAGGAAAAAAACAAAAATATTCATGCCTGAAATATACAGATAAGGCTCACTTTACTCAATTCGTGCATTCCTGAAACCTACTGTTAGTCTCTGGGAAACTGTTTAAAGAAATTCTGTGACAAGCTGTTTTGTGATAGAAGAATCTTTCTCAGAGCCAATGACTTGCTCCAATGCACTTTTAGAAATTAATCTAGCTGAATATAGCAAGCTTTAAGCTAAACCCATACATTTTTCATGGTTAGATAGATGGCACAAATTAAATAACAATAAATCATAAAATAATTAGATGCCCTTGTGTAATTTCCCAGCTGATTCTAGAATCCAATAATTTAATTCAACCTACCTATTTTCTGTGCTCTCAGAAGGAAAGTATTGCTATAGGATACATTTATGGTGTACTATTTTTGCCTTTCAGTTGCAATTATGATTTAAAAACAAAATGCCTTTTTCATCTTTCAGAAATTTCACCTTTCCCCACATAGAAACTTTGGACGAACATGTTCTTATGTTCCCTCACAGTTAAACTTGCCATGTTCTCAATAGAACATGTATGAGTACACATGTAAAACAAGTTTTTTTTTATATATTTTCATTGTAATCTTTTGCTCTACAAAATATTTGCCTTAAAGGGTGTCACTGCAATTTAAATCTAAATTTAAAACATAACACAAAATATTTAGATTTTCCTGAGTGAGATTGATTAGGAGTGCATTAGCGTTTTTTTATCAATAAGTGGATAAAGACTTTCTTCCTTTAAAAAAAAAGACTTCTTTTGAAGCCTGATAAAATCCTAAAGTGTTAACGACCTATTGTGTACTAAAAATAGAGTATTGCATTAAAATAGTCCTGTTTTAACTTTTTCTTTTATGTCTCTCCAAAGTAAATACAGTAACTATTATTGTTTATGAGAGTTGTGTTTTACAAAGTTTCTGTAAACACTGAGTTAGCCCGAAAAATGAAATACAAGATCCCAGAAGGCATACAAGATTGGGTCCCTATAAGCTACTGCCATAATGTTTTTGTCAACTAATGAATACATAACCTTTTTTGTATTTGCTGCTGTTTAAAGATGCTTTATTTAATTTTACACTCATGCCTGAAGGCAGCTTAGGTAGTGTGTTTTCTCTGTAAGGCCCATCATAGTCTTCTTTTCTGAGGAGCTCCAGACAACACGTCAGAGCTCTGTGTGGGCTCCTCTAAACAGAGAAATCACCAGCAAGGTTCACAGACATCGCAGGAAATATGGCACTGAATACACCATGAATAGCAGACTTGTCCTTACACTTCCAGCACTCTCACACCCTGCTTGTGAAGATTCCAGGGTTTGGGTGCTGTTGCTAGGAATAAAACCCTCATGGCTAACAATACAGGGTGTACCAGCTAGCTGGGTGATCTTCCTTGCACAGCATTATCTATACGAGATTATCATTTCACATATTTAATATTTCTCTATGGCAGATAAACTGTAGAAGTTAATTTGCCTGAAATCACTGCTAACAGCCAGATTTTGTGAGCCTTAAAGGAACATTTTCAGTGCTATTTGCTTTCACTACTCACACCAGAGTTGCAGTCTCCAGCTTTGGTTGGAAACAGTGTCATCCATTAAATATTTAGCTTTATCGTTGGAAAAATAATTTGATGTTGTTGCTTAAGACAGTTCTGTGATTAAACTCTCCCAGGAACTAAGAGACTAGCACTTCATATATTATTGGATAAAAACATGCCTAATAACACACTCATACCTAGATAAAAGCTGCCTCACTTGCTTCCTTAAATCAGTTTGACTTTGCATGGATTGTAAGTAAAATGATGACCTATAAATTTATTTTTTAAAATATATACATTTATTACATTAGCCTTTTTTAAAATGCTAAATAATCACTTTGATTTGTATTGGGTTAGTTTAGCTTAGCATTATCTAACTAAATTTTAAAATCTTTCAGTAGTTTCTCTTGCTTTATTAATACTACTGCTTAGCTGTATTAATCTTTCATTGCTATAAAAATACCAATTATTCATTAAAGCAATTAATAATTTCATAGAATCCTAATATTTCCCTGAGTTTTCATTTAAAATTTTAGTAATTTGCACTTGTTATCTTTCTGGTTAACAGAATTCACAGGATTTTGGAACTGGAAGAGACCTCACAAATTATCTATGTTAAGTTTCTTATAGTGGAAGAAAGTTAAAAATCTGTAGAACCTAATTGCCTAAGATCAGCTTTCTATTAAGATAGGAACTAAAGACAAAAAGGTACATTTCTCCTAAAAACAAGCCCCTGCTATTTCTTCCATCTGTCCCTGCCACGTAGGAAATGAGATTTTACTGTATGTACAAATGTCATTGTTATTCAGAAGTACTAGTATGTATGTATGTGTGTGTATACACACTGAGATATACTTTCTTCTTTTTCAGTCATACATCATTTTTCTACAAAACAAAGAAGAATCAGAGCAATAAAAGAAATGGCCAGGGTCTTAGTTCCTGGAGGCCAACTGATGATTTATGTTTGGGCAATGGAACAAAAGAACCGCCGCTTTGAGAAACAAGATGTTCTTGTTCCATGGAATAGAGCCTTATGTTCCCAGCTTTTCTCAGAACACAGCCCGTCCGGGAGAAAGAGGCAGTGTGGACGTCCAGAAACAAGCCATCCCTGCCATGCTCCTTGCTCTGAATGGAGCTGTTCAATTTGCTTTAAAGAACGATGGGATTCAAAACGGTCCCATAGCTTGGACTCTGAACCTGTCATGACTACAACCTGTTGTGGAAGTATTCTGAAGGAAGGTGAAGGAGAAAACAGATTTTATAACACTTTAGGAAAATCTTTTCGTTCCTGGTTTTTCTCCAGATCTTTGGATGAATCCACTCTGAGGAAGCAAATTGAAAAAGTGAGACCTTTGAGAACCACAGAAAGCTGGGCCAATAACACAGTATCAGTGCAGCCTTCCAGACACCAAGACTTTGATCACCAAGAGCCATTTTCAACAAAAGAGCCAAATGAAGATGAGGAAGTGTTTCTGGAAACTTCTCAGAAACACTTGGAGTGGTTGAGAGCACCAGGTACTTCAAAGCATTTCAGAGGAGACCAAGAAGTAAATAGAAGAAATGGAGGGGAGATTTTTCTGCCTCCCACTAATACTGGTGAGAACTGTGCGGATGCAGATGACTTAAAGAATGGCTATCCTTCTGGTGGTGAAATACTGAGAGGAATTTCTGCCGTCAGTGCCACCGATTCCAACCCCGGTGACACAATTTCTGTTGACAAACAACAGCCCAGCATTTTGGATTCAGGAGCCTTTATGCGCTACTACCATGTATTTCGAGAAGGCGAGCTCTGTGGTCTCCTGCAGGAGAATGTGTCAGAACTGCATATTCTGAGCTCTGGAAATGATCATGGCAACTGGTGTATCGTTGCAGAGAAAAAAGAAAAATTATAATTAATTGGATCATTTTGGTCAACTTCTCCAAAAGACAAACCATTATCTTTTTACTAGCATTGAAAGCAAAATGCTAGATGTTATCTAAACTAGCATCCAATTTTATTATATTTTAAAATCTATGTATGCTTTGGTTTAGAGACCAAGAATTGATCGTCTTTTTAATCTTTGGGGTAAGCACAGAGTCTAGAATTTGACATAGGATGTTTGTGCTTAAATATTAATAAAATGATCTGAAAAAGCAATAGAAAATGTACTTCAGTATATTCAGTACAGTTTAGATTGTATTCCCCATAAAGAGGAAATTCTTATAAGAATATGTGAATATTTATGTTTATTAGTATACACTGATTTTTAAAAGATTTTACTCTTAAATAGACTTTAAAAACAATATTTTTATAAAGTAAGGTAGGTGATAGTTTTGGGTTCCCAGGTAATACTTTATAAAAGGAAACTTGTTGCATTGCTCAGATATTAGAGTTTGCTGACCAATGGGATGGGGTATTTTGTTGCCAAAAATACCTGGCTTCTATTTGAAGTCTTCAGAAAAGTGGGAGACAGTGGAGAGAAACGTAAAAGTTTGGGGGGCTTTTCTGAATGACAAGCAAACTTCCTTCAGGATAACTTCTGTGTATAACCAGCGTTTCAGTATTGCTCGGGATTTTAACTGTTGGCAGGGCCTGGGTGTAGCTGGTAGAACATGTACCTCGTAGGCATTAATCCCAGCACCATGTAGAAGATACAGAGATGAAATAAATGGAATGAAAGCGCTGTCAGCATGCAGGGAGCGTGATTCGTGTGTCCAGGAGTTGTTCTGAGTACTCTGGTGGCATTTATTTCTCGGAGCACGAATACCTGCCTAAGAGAACACCAGGCTTAGCCGATTATTTTTAAATCTACAATTACGCTTTTCTTCTCAATTGAAGACAGTGCAGTTCAAGAACTGTTTTATTTTGACTCTAAGGATGAGTAAATTGGTAATGTGCTGGATTGGGGGCCTTCATGAGGTGTGACTAGGACTTGCTGTGGGATTTTCAAAAATAGTATCTAGGCATTTATTTTACAGCAAGAGACTTAAAACTGTATCAGTTGTATTAGTTACTTAAATTAAATTAACTTTTGTTACTTGAAGGCTGAATTTCCTTGACTTTTTAGAAACAATGAAGGGATTGGGTATTAGATTTAACCATATCATTTTCAATCCATATCATAGGTCCTGAGACGCAAATATAATTCCGATAGAAGTAGAGACAGGAGAAGCAGAAGTAACTTGACCAAAGAATATGCTTGTAGTTCCTTAAGGAGAAAAAAATAAATAAAAAGCCTATTTACTTTGGGGACCACTGTAATTCTAGATGAAAAGAAAATCCATTTTTTGTTTTATTTGCCTACCACAAAATTAAATGAAATAGAAATGCATATCATGTATTTGAGGCTCTTTTTTTCCATCAGGGAAACATCAGAGCACATTTTAAAGTAGAGGAACAGGGAACACAGGCATGGAAGAAGAGTATAGATTAAAATTTAACTTAGTGTCCAGTCCTTGGATTATGACATTAAGCTGAGTGTAAAAGATTTTCTTGGTGGAAAAAAATTATTTTCCAAGTAAAAGATGTTTTTTTCTTTAAACTTTTTTTTTTAATTTTATTGAGTTTATTGGTACATTTTAGGGATACAGTCTGTTTGCAGTGCATAATGACTCCGTTCACCGTAGGGGATAGGTACAGGTACATAACACATTTCAATTCCCTTCTTTTTCCCTACTCCCTCCACTCCTTTTATTTTTCCAGCATCAATTTCATTTATTTATTTCATGAGAACTTATAAATTATCATGTATGCAGATTGCAAACCAAAGAACATATACAACATGTAAGACAGCTGGAGTAAAGATACACTTTTAGATACATTGTCCATGCTGGATTACAAAGCCTTTCTCTCTCTTTTTTCCTATTATCTGTCATATACAGAGCGAGATTTTCATACAAGAGAATCCATGCAATATGTAAGCTTGTGTGTCTGAATTACTTCACTAAACATTTTGGTCTCAGCAAAGATGTTCTTGTAACTGGGAAACATTTACCCATCTGTGCATTATTGACCACAAAACAAGTAAGCACTGGTGGATATTTTTCTTTCTAATTTGGGATTGGGGGAGAACAAAAAGTCTACTCCATTGGTGAATGTGGTGGGGTGCTCACCCTACCGTGAGTTGGATGCACTCTATTTAGTAGACTCTATTTAGTAGAGGGGCTGAAATAGGGAACAGCAACAGGCTATGCAGCTGCAACACAGGAAGAATGGATTCGGTCAGGCTTCAGCTTTTCTTTCCTATTACATAGCAAATTTGAAATCATAATTACAGCTATCTTTTCTTAATATCTAACATTTATTGTTTTATTTGTAATCTTCCCCACAGCTCTTTGAGATAAATATCTTCCCATTTTGCAGATAAGGAAACGGAGGCAGAAAAATTAACTACATCACCTAAGTAGTGAGAACTCCAACACATTTCGTTGGAGGCAGATCTGAGATTCAATCCCACATAGTCTGGGTTGGTACCTGTATGTTATATTTCCACCACTGAGTTTTGGTCACTGTGTTAGGAAGGTTACAAGAGTCTTTCAAGGTTAAATGTGATTTTCTCCTTTACAAACTAGTATTAGCAAGGTTAAACAAAGGGATAATAGAGAGGGACCCCTTTTATATTTCTATGCTTTTTAAAATTTATAAATCTGTCTCAATTTGATCGGAATAAGAAGTAGTTCTAGGATAAAAATAGTTTGTGCTTACTTTTTCTGCAATTCTTCAATTCTTTAAAAAGTGGATTTTTTTTCCACTTTACAGTGAGGAAACTGAGGTATATTCAGGTATTTCATTCATCCGTTTCTTCCCTGAGACCTGTGTGTTGGATATGAAGGATAAAAGACCATGAATAGGTGGAGTTTTGAGTGTGCACAAAATACTGGCATTAGCTGACCTAAAAGAGCCAAGGTAGAACATTCTGTTGTATTTCATGATCCAAACTTCTGTGTTATACTGCTTAGTTTGAGAAAAACAATACAGAAAATCAGAGTGCATATTTGCATACTTAAGGTGTATTTTAAGTGAACCTAGAGTTAATTTTACTGAGCTTGCCCTTGGATATATTGATGCCCTCTAGCACAAGCGCTTTGTGTAATATATTTCAGAAAATAATGTGTCCTTAGAAAAAATGCAGACTTCTCTGGATGGCATTCAGGCCCTTCATAAATTAACTCATCTCCTGCAATTGCACCGATGTTTTCTGTTCTGCAAACTGCTATTTTAAATAATGCTTTCATTGATATTACATAACGGGAAGTAATTATCCCATCCCCCAGATCCTTACTGAGATTTAAAATTCAGTAATTGTAGTCGTCTCCACAGATGAATTTATACAGCAGGCATCATCCCATCAATGGCGACATGAGAAAAGTCTTCCTACTCACCCATCCAATAGATGGCAAACCATGGCCACGGTAGGTTTGCTGGTTCCTTGTCTAGAATGCTCAACTCCTGCACTCCTGATCTTATTTCAGATTTATGATTCCTGTTTCAGTGACATGAACTCCATACTTGAAACTTCAATTATGTACAAAACTGAGTGAGAACATTTAAAGAAAACTCTAACTAAACAGGGATAGAAGTTACTATGCAAATGGAATGCACTTGGCATGAGAACTCCGACGGAGACTTAAAACCAATCAACAAAAAAATACCAACTGTGAATTACAGAAATTTTTGATTTACTGGGGACTTACAGTTTGTGACACATTAATAAGCACATAAATAATTTCAGTTATACCCCATGTTCTGTGTTCTCTTGATGCAGACCTTCCTGGGTTGGTTATACATGAATAATTGATCACTTTATCTGGCAAGGATACAAGCTGTCATATAATCTGTCTGACCAATCTGATGCACCACTTGTGAGAGCTGAGTGTCCAGCTGGATCCCCACATGGCAAATAAATAATGAATTCACATGAAACAACATATTTGCTCCACAGGGAATTTTGTTTCTCTGTAGACACTCCCTCTACGTAGAAAAAAACAATGAGTCATAGTTCAGCTGCAGCCAGTGTAACTGAACAGTGAATTCCCTAAGCAAATTACAGTTGCATCTATGTACACGGAGGAGGGAATTTGGATGACGGACAGGCACTTTTCTTATATGCTAATCATATCACATCCACTTAAATATTCTGGTAAATGTATAAAGAAGGATGCTAGTAGGAAAGGTTTAGCTTTGCTACTCTATTTATGTAGAACATTGGCATTACTTAAACCCACTAATGGGGACCTGAGTGGAATTCCTGAGACACTCTGAATAAGTGTGTGGAACCTTCCCAGTTTCTGTATATGCTCTTAATCACATATGTGTGTAAATATATATATATATACATATATATATATACATATATACTACATATATTACTATATACATCATACACACACAAACACACACACCCCTATTCCTAGATGTTGAATGTTTGCTGTGGTTACTGACCAAGAAAAAACGCTGTCTCGTACACTTATAAACACATAAAATTAGCAATTACCATAGAAATGCATTTCATTGGATAAATTTTTTTGTTCCAGGGAAATTTAAAGATGACAGATTTCCTCTTACTTCTTCTAGTGTTGATGTATGTTTTTGTGTCAAAAAAGCAAAACCTCTTCTTTTCCTATAATTTTTGGTTGTTTCGGCTTCTCCCAGAAAAAAGCTAGCAGAAGTTTTAAAAGTACAAATTGATGTAAAACAATTTTTTTGACTTGTAATAACTTGAATATATATTTCACTTGTATTAATTAACAATGGTCAAGGTCTTTAGAGCATTATTTAAAATGGTGTGTGTGCTCACTTTAGAAGCACATATACTAAAATGGTATAAGTTATGTGATTATGATAGGTAGTAGATTTTTTAAAGTCATGCATCCATGTACCTTTTAAAAATGTTCTAAGATTAACAGAATTTTGCTTTTCTTTACTTTTCTGTGTGAAAGAATTGGAGTCACTCAGTTCACACAGCCAGCTTGGATTACACTTCAGCAGAACGGGACAACTTCAAATTTGAATCATTATCTTTGACCGAAGGAAACCAGATTAACTGTCTAATAATAGATTATCTTTAATGGGTTAAAA